GCCTGGCATCTCGATTCTTCTCCACCTGGTGGTGACCTCTTTCCTTCCTCCCCCTCCTACCCGAGCCCCTTCCTGGTTCTTTGGGCCCCAGCTTCCTGGCCGGCACTCAAGCCAGTCTAAATTGCCCATATATGGTTAAGCTGCTTCCCAACTCCCCTTACAACCATTAACAGCCACCCCCCCTCCCCCTAGTTACAAGTGGCAGAAACAAATCAATCCAACTCCCAACGAATGCAATACAATGGAAAACAAGAACAGTTGGGTGATGCAGGTTCTGACAACTCCACTACCAAAGCAAGAACCCGACCACCCACAAGAGGAGCTGTGTAAGAACATTATTCAAGCGAGCACAAATGCATTGCAGCAACCCAGAACAGCAGAAAAAGGAAAAAGACCACCTATACAACATCTTCCAACAAAATGGATACCCATGTAATTTTATCAAAAAGTGCCTGACCATGCAACCTACTAGAACACAACCCACACAGGCCATGAAAAGGATCCCACGGCCATGCATCAGAAACATCTCAGAAACCACCAACAGATTATTACAACCATATGGCATCTCTGTAGCACACAAACCAACAAAATCACTCCAGAATATCATCAGAAACATCTCAGAAACCACCAACAGATTATTACAACCATATGGCATCTCTGTAGCACACAAACCAACAAAATCACTCCAGAATATCCTAAGTAAACCAAAAGACCCAGTTGCCCAAGAAGAAAAAAGAGGAGTCATCTACAACATACAGTGTAAGGACTGTAACAAGCACTATGTAGGACAAACAGGCAGAAGACTAGCGTTGCGCATCCATGAGCACCAACTAGCAGTTGGAAGACATGATGAAAATTCCTTAATTGCAGAACACATGGACAGACTCAACCACAGTTTTAACTGGGAAACTGTCAGCATTTTAGACCAAATCAAATCCAAATATGCAGAGAATTTTTGGAAGCGTGGTATTCAGACAAAGCAGCAATTAACAGACACATAGAGATAAACAGCATCTACATACTGTTCAAAAGAGACAAAAGAACAGAAGATCACCTCACCAGCAGTCAATCCCCAGCAATCATCACCCTGATAAGCCAAGGTTACCACTAGGCACAAAATCAAGCAACAAACATATGCTAACCAAGGAACTACCAGGGGAGCAAAACAAAACCCCCACCTCCACCAGCACTGGCAAGGCAGGCCACAGCAGGTAAATAGAGAGCAAACCTCATCCCATTTTAGCACTGAAGATGTTACCTGGCCGGGTAATGAAATATTTGCAAGAAAAGAACCAAGCTCAGAGGACCCCAAGGACTCCACATTAAACTCTTCCCCTGTTTCCAGATCTCCTTTATGCAAAGGTGTCTCATGGTCATTGGCTATGCTAGAGGACATCGTAATGTTTTGAGAGAATAAACAGTCTAGGAGGTACAAGCTGGGCAAATTGCAGTTCACCAGCATATTTCTAAACTGAATAGACAGATTGGCTGTAATCCACATTTTGCTCTCTTTGGAGTGCAGCCTACTGCACAGAAGAGTGTTTCTCAAGGAAGATTTCCAGTAAGGAAACCTGAAATATCCATGAGTCATTCCCCTTCACACCACAAAAACATTTTTGGGGGGCGAGAAAAAGAAATATGTGAACCCACGAGCATTCATTAGCATGAACTTTTCTTCCTTTACATTTGCGAAGGTTCACTGAGGTGGGGGAAGGTGCTCTATCGATTTTAGCAAATATGATCTGATACCATCGATGAAAAGGGCAATGGGGAACATCACGTAACTACTGATTTTCATTCTTAGCCCATTTTCCAAAGGTCAGGTAAAGGTGAAATAGATCCAGTAGTTTTACTGGTCCACAACATGGCGGTCAGAGCTTAAGTATGGGCTGGTGAATCAAAGCATTTAACTCTTCCTCCATTTCTCAATCTTCTCTATGCAAATGTGTCCTCTGTTCATTGGCTAAGCTAGAAGACCTCAGTATGCTTTGGGGGAGTAAACTATTTCAGAAGAACCAATGAGTGCAGATCTCATTTGCATGAAGGGGCCAAGCTGGAGGATTTAAGGAACGGAGAGGAGAAGATCTCAAGAACTTTATAATTTTCCTCCGTAAAAGGACATTCCTTGTGAAGGTTCACCATGGGTTGGGCTGTGGTCTTCCTGGCACTTCTCACTTACTGCACAGGTAAGGGGCATAACAGTCAGTCTTCCTAAGGGAAGAGAGGATTTGGTTGTGATACTCAAAAGAACATGGTCTCTTCGAATTATATAAGAGCATTGAGCAAAGAAAGTGCATCCCTGAGATGGTGTTTTTTTTTCTCCACCTCTCTCCTTCCCCCCTTTAAAGGCATTGACTGTCAGACCGTTTGGACTCAGCCTTCCTCCATCTCCGTGTCCTTGGGAGGGACGATTACGCTGCCCTGCACAACAACTCAGAGTAGCTACAATATTGGCTGGCATCAACAGAAATCTGGAGAAGGCCCTCGCTATGTCCACACTAGTGGTGGCTACAGCAGGGGAGAAGGGATCCCAGATCGCTTTACGGCCACCAGGTCTGGGAGTACGGGATCTTTAGCCATCACCAACGCGCAGGCTGAAGACGAGGCAGATTATTACTGTAGCAGTTGGAACAGTGCAGTTACGGTGTTGCACGGTGGTAAATTCTGATGGGGAAGTGTGACAAAAACCTCCACTCTTCCTCTTCAGCCTGAAACAAGAAGCAACAAACCTTGGCCTGTGGCTGTGGACAGTTGAGCTGAAGAGATAGAAGTGAAACTTCTGCAAGTCCATTTCCATCTGCAAAGAACTCTCTCTGAACCCCACCCAAGGAGGGTGATGGGCACAGCAGTATGTTAGAGGAGGGTGTGGGGGAATCCCCCAGCCCCGTGGCCTCTGCTTTCCAGCTGTTGAACAGAGCTGGTTGGGAAATAATTAAATATTAAAAATGGTTAAGTGCCTCATCCATTTCCAGAAGTGTGACATAGATCAGACCTTCAGAAGCAAGAAGGTTTTAGGTGAGATGGGTGTGGGCACAAGGTGGACAATCTGCACTTCACCAGTCAGTGTCCAAACTGGATATACAGGTTGGCTTAAATCCATGTGCTGCCGCCTTTGGAGTGCAGCCTATGGCACAAACGTGTTTTTCAAAGAAGGATTATAGATTAAAAAAAATGTTAAAAGTTTTACATAGAACATAAGAACTAACACAAACTAATGCAAGCCCTTCTCCCCATTGGCTACAGCACTGGTGATGGGAAGCCCCCTCCCCTCCAGTCATTGGTTCCTTCCCGCCAGTCTTCCTGCAAGTTCATCCTTGGAATGAAGGAAAGCTGGTCTTCTCCTGCTCCTGCTCCTGCTCCTGCTCCTTCTCCTTCTCCTTCTCCTTCTCCTTCTCCTTCTCCTTCTCCTTCTCCTTCTCCTTCTCCTTCTCCTTCTCCTTCTCCTTCTCCTCCTTCTCTTTCTCCCTCTCCTCCCAATCCAAGGTTGGATATCTCTGTTTTACTATTTATTCCTTTTTTAAAAAATATATGTAGGTGGAGTAGCTAGGAATTCTACCATTTTCCTCCTCTACCTGAAGACATGGAAAATAGTACAACGGTAGGGTTTCCTTTTGTTCTTGTTTCATTACATGGTCCAGGATGGGAAAGGAAGCAGAATCAAGAAGCTGGAGAACCGCAGTCCATGCAGAACATCAGGACATCGAATGTCCCAAGTGAAGGATGGAATAGAAATTGACATAAGGGTTTCTTAAGCTGCCTTCTGTTCCAGCCAGTGTATGCAGGGGAGATAAACAGCTGAAGGCCAAATGTGGACAACCCCAAATGTTTGCCACATACAGATATATCATCTCCACCTAAAAGGTCTTTTTTCAAATGAAAGTATCAAAAAGAACAAAGGAGGCTTTGTGATACCTTCTGTGGGAGAACTAATAAAGAAGACATGTCTTGTTTCATTTTTGTCCTCTTTCATCTCATCATTTTTTTTCTGGCCCTTCCTCTGAATTTTGAGGAGAGGGAAGATGATGGTCCTCAGAGGATGGCAAAGGCTGCATTTCTTCAGCCAAGGTGGGCAGAAGACAGGTGTTGCGATATCAGTGGCCAGTAGGGGTTGCTGCTACCCTTTCATCTTTCTCAAAAAGGATGGGCAGATGTGGCTTCTGCAAAGACTACTGTCTTCCTGTAGAGTAAGGGAGGGAGGAGGGCACGGACCCCTCACCCAACAGGTGAAATAAGGAAGGATAAAGAGAAAAGCTTTAATTGCAACTGTTCTCCTTCCAAGTTCATGTTACAGAATGATTAAAAAGAAAAGAGGACATTTGAATTGCTGATGACCTGCCCTAGCACTTTATTTCCAGTTGGAGGACAGTTCTCTTCTTCCCTAGAGCTGGTGGCCTTGGAGGGAGATTTCCTCCCTGGAAGTATCCTTGATGAGATTTACATCAATGAGCGTGGTTTACTTTCCCCCAATGCATCCCACATTTGGTCCAAAGGATTGCTTTTGGCAAATTGGCTTAATAAACTTCGGTTCTAATTAGTTAGACAAGGGCTAATTCACATCTCTACCCCTGCTCCCCACTCCAAGAAAATATGGTGTTTTGATAAGACGTATCTTAGCAGCTGTTCCCTCTGTAACCAGCCTTCCAGAGGGCTGGGTTGGTAGATGAAGAGCAGGAGATTTGCATGAGGGGCTCCTCTCTTGCCTTTGGGATTTCAAAGTGGTGAAGAGGAGGTGAATGTGAAATCCCTTTGCTTTAGATAAGCGATTGGGCCATCAATGTATTTTCGATGTGACCTGCAGGTCGGGGTGAGGAATGAAAGTAGATCAAGTTACGGAGTCTTTTCCAAGAATCTTCTCTTTTCCCCACTTTAGATATGCACCTACTTTTCTACAACCCATGCTGATGTAGATGTTTGAGTCTCTTGGTGCATCTAATTTTCTTTTACCCTCATGTGTTCCCTTCCACCCCCATTTGCATCTCCAGGGGCAGAGTGTGTGAAGTGGGTTCTCCTTGCTATTTCACAGAGGCGCATGAAATAAGAGGTATCTTATTTGGATGTCTCTGGCCACTAGGTGTCATTGATGGGCTTTTATATTTTCTAACCTAAAGCTTGCTAAAAAGAGGCAAAATTCAGTTTTTACACTTGGGGAATAGGGTGCAGACAGATCATTCTGGAGATGGTCTGTTCCTACGGTCACTGAGAATCAATACTGACTTGATACCACATGATCAATGAATGAAACTACTGAAGATTATGATTCTCATAAGAACATGGTCCCTTGGATGGCCTTCCATAGTTTCTAACCTAAAGCTTACTAAAGAGAGGCAATTTGGAGTTTTTCCAGTTGGGGAAAGGGGTGGGGACAGATCATTCTGGAGATGGTCTGTTCCTATGCTCACTGAGAGTCAACACTGACTTGATGCCACATGATCAATGAATGAAACTCCTGGAGATGCAGCCTAGTTGTTTCTTTCAAGATGACTCTGTTTTGAAGAGAATCAGAAAGTGATGGCCAAAAGAGGCTGATCCTCACCTTGCAAAGTGGTGTGGACATAGGTTCTTCACAGAGCAGGGGATTGGAGAAGAAGGTCTTCAAATACAAACCTGACATCCATGATTGTAGTGTGGGATTTCTGGGGAAATATGCAGGCCCATTACAGATTTCAGCATATTCTTGTCCAGGAAACGTAAAAACTGTCAAACACCAAGCGAAGAGGAATCGTTCACACAGTACATGGATTCAGGTGACTTATCGATTTGATCATCTGCTGAATTTGGTTTGGTTTGTGGTATTTTTTTGTGGCAGGGTAATATTTACTGTGAACTTAGAAATGTTGGTAAGTTTACCTCACACTGTAGATAGAGGGTGAGCCCAGAAAAGATAAAATTTCAATGTGTTTTGTGAAGGCAGCCATGGAGTTCCACTCCCTTCCGCACCCCACAGGCGAGTCTTGCAGATGAGATCTTATGGAAAACACCCCTTGTCTTTGTCTCAGGAATGCAGGGGTGTGTGTGTTAAAAAACAAATCGACGGGAAAAATATTTGCATAGTTTTTCAGCCACCAATTCTGGAGCTTAAGAAGGGAGTGAAGGGGGCAACCTAGAAGGAGCATTGGTTACAGAAGATCGGTTGTTGCCCATTTCTCG